TCACATGCTTGCTTTCGGTGAAAAATTCACTTTGTGGCTGATAAATGACTGCAAATTTGCAAAAACTCTGAGGAAGACATCAGTGGATTAGGGGAAGTAGAGTAGTAGTGCATATGTTCAAGAAAACTCTGTATTGAGCCTCAAATTATTGAAGAATTGCCTCTCTGAGCTCTCGAGAAAAGTCCATTTTTAAAACTGTTCAAAAGGAAGAGCCTCACAACAGTTGAGTCTAAAAACCAACAGAAACAACGTGGCTTCAGTTCAGGCCGACACAAAACAGACCAAACTTTCGCCTTCACCACTTCGTTGAGAAGTCGCAGGAGTTCGCTTATCGGGTTTACGTGTGGTTAGTTGACTTTTAGAAAGCTTATGACTAAACCCCGCATAACTGCAGACAAATGAGGTCGACAGCCATTCAGTCACTACATGTTAAGAACAGGAACTGTGTCAGATTAAATGTTATCAAGTTGAAACCTTTCAGGGTTAGCACCGGTCTTCGCTACAGTTGTGCCCTCTCTAATTTCATCCTTGTGCTGCAAATGGATAGTCAGGATAGCCACTGCGACGATCATAACGTAATAACAGATCTGGAGGGAAAATATTTGTTGTTCCAAGACGACCCTGTTCTCTTCACATCTTCCGAAACTGATCTCTAGCGTTCTCCGGAAAGGTTCGCAGTTGTGTGTGATGTGATCGTGATGCATGTTAAAGTATGTAAAGTAAGAAGTTTAATACATTGTGATTTTCCTGATCGTTGCGTTTTGCGGCTAAATGAAGAAGTAGTGGAGCAGGTGTGGAAGTTCATGTGCATCGGCATCGCTTTTACTGATGTTGAAAAATGAGGTGGAGGCATCGCCCGGCGAAATGAAATAGCCAGCTCCGTTATGTCGTATCGTCAAGTACCCCGAATCCTTGTTAAGCATTGTTATTTCTTAATTTATTTTAAGCAAAACTTACTCAAAAGTCCAAGTGGTTTCTATTGAATCGATCTACATCTTGATGCTCAGTACGACCATGAATGAAAAGCTGTGATCTAGTTATAAGCGGCTGAAAGATGCTTCCTGAGTCAATCGCTGGGTTCACGCTTCTTGACATGATTTGAAGTTGAGATTTCCGAAAGAGCCTTGTTGTGCAGCCGTTGAGTTGCAACAGCTGCGACAATTTGGTACGTCTTTCGAGTGCTCAGAGAAACTGAAGCGAAACAACTACTATTTACTCAGCCGACTGGCTGAGGACCGGGATGGCTATGAATAATATGGAGCAAGTGTTTCGTTTGACTCTGCTCTAAATTCTGGTTGTGTTCCGCCGAACCTCAAAAGCTGGCACAGGATCAGGAACGTTTTGAGCAGCGTCTGACGCGGCTGCCTTTGAGACCCGAAAGGAGAAACGGTTATTGAAACTTACAGACTGACTGGCGAATGGAGGGGATTTTTCGACAGAAAAATAAAATGGCATAGCTTGTTTGTGAAGTGGCAAAATGATACTGAGAGTAAAACTTAACATTGTGTGAAAATAGCGACAGACCAAATATCTTAGCATATGAAGACACTAGAACTTCAATTATATTCGTCTACGCTTCAAAGTCTTCAATTTTTAGCAAATATTCAATATTTTAAATTGATAGCACTGAATTAATGTGCAAAGAATGAGAGGCTTTACACAACTGTTGCCATTTCTTCTCCTAGCAGTACAGAAAATATAACGATTCAGCTGAATGGGATTGATAATTGTTCTTGTTTTTGTTCAGCTCATCTCCCTTGAGCAGTTTGCATTAGCTAAACATTTCTCGTTTGTAATCTCTGCTGAATTTGTTACTGTAAACATGTTTGATGTCATAAAAGTTAATGTTCTTCTCCAAAAGCTGATCTAACGCAACCGTCTTCTTCTATGTTGCCGACGTCTGCCGTATTTGTGTTCCAACAGAAGACGTTCATGGGCTGGAGTAAACGGATCATACTCAGCCAGTTTGCCTCACAGGGAGAACTTCCTTGTTTTGGTTTCCATCACCACTGAGGTCATTTTTGCTCGGAAAAGAATAGAGATGCTGCAATAATTGTGCCATTTAATGCCCATGATTCGTTCCAGCCAACGTTGCAGTCAGCGTTTCAGCCTAAGTTCTTAGGCCTTCGCTAAAATAACGTTCTCCATGGAACAGCGTTAACGTGGCCGAAACAGAATACAGACGGATGTTTGAGTAAAGAATTATTCACTCCTGAAAGAAAATGTTTGACCGAAATGATGCCAATGAGATATTTTAATTGGTTTACCTCTTAAACGGCTTTACTTCGCCATTCCTATGAGTAA